TCTCTCTCTCTCTCTCGCTCTCTTTCTTTCTTTCTTTCTTTCTTTTTTCAGCAGTCATTCGGCTCGCTCTTTCTCTCTTTCTCTCCCTTTCCGTTTCGCCATGAAAACCCGCGTTTCCGACTGGAAGAGCTCGGTCATTTTCCGTCCAAGTGCCTCGTCGTTCCATCGACTCCACTTGGTCTAGTTTTTTCCTTTTTCGAAACGAATTTCTAAACTAACGTATCGCCAGTCGGAAGTTAGTGGAACGGATGTTTGGTTGCACAGAGCTGGTGATCGATTAACTTGATTTCAAAGATTCAAATGGTGGAGTGTAAGACTTTTGTTCGAGCGTTGTTTCTCTCATTGTCAGTTACCGTAATGGCAAAATGGCAAATCTGTTTGTTTGCCTCAAAGGCAAAGCCGTACGTAATTAATTACACGTTGGATTTGATTGTAGAATTGTGCGAATATGAACAAGTGCTGCAAATTATCTGGCGACAACAGATAAGACGAGCAAGCGGAATCGAAGATTTAAAGATATAAATACGTTTCGAGTCACACTGATCGAATCTTTTTATCTCCACTTGAAAAATTTACCAAACTTCTCGATCCTAACAACAACTCCGCCATCACGTTTCATCTATCCGACAGAAAGTGAAATAATTTTAATCTAACTTGGCCAAAAATTCGACGCGTACGCCAGAGGAGACTCGGGATGCGAATCGCTTATCCTTGACCAAGTGGAACGAGTCGGAACCACTTAATCATCTCTTTGTTCCTTCGCAAATATTCTCCCATTTATCCGAGTTAACTTGCCACGCTCGGTTAACGGGTTAATAGTATTCCGCGTTCTTGCACCGCGCGACGGGAATCGCAAATATTGAACCACCAGTGGAACACTAACCGTGAAACGTTCGAGCCAGAGGAACGAGGAACGAATGAAAATAGAAACACGGCGTTCAACGAGGCACGAAGAGGCGAGAAGTTTTTAAACAAAATTCCAGATAGAGTTCGTGGCTCGATGGGAACACGTTCAGATAATCTTTATCGCAGCAGCTCTCTTCCAGCCTGTGTCCAGAAAAACGCATCTCGCGAAGAGGAACAGCGAGAACAGATAAGGAGCGAAGCGAGAGAACAGCGTCCTCTCTCCGTTTCGTTCGCGCGAGATCGGCACGAACGGATGGAAATACACGTATAATACACGCAGTAACAGCGAGGTCAACGTGGGGAGAGAAAAAAAAAAAAAAAAAAAAAAAAGAAAAAAAACGAAGGAGAATTCACGCGGCAATTCAACCACGGAATGAAGCTGTTCGCAGCGTTACAGCTCGCTGGAATGTCCCTTTCGTTCGTTCGTTCACCACGAAGACCTTTCGTTCTACGCATGCAACCAGCCAGTGTCTTTTATGCGAGCGTGACGCAACCCCTCTCGTACCACTGCTTATCCACGTGACAATCCTTCGTGTCACATCATTCATTTTGATGATTTGCCACTCGACATAGAAATATTGAAGTTTCAA